CACTCACGTCGATGCTCTCGTTGCTGGTGCTGTTCTCCTCCCTCTTGCGCTCCTCCTCCTCCTGCTCCAGCTCCTTGATGCTCTCCTCCAGCACGTTGGGCCAGAAGTCGCCCTCGAAGTATGGCAGCTCCTTGGCGCTGGTCAGCCGGTCCTCGGTGGCCTGCTTGAAGATGTCCTGCACCCCGGAGAGGGAGAGAGAGAGGGGGTGACGGGACGGTCGGGGGCCGAGGGGCGCGGAAGCGTCTCGCAGCACAGAAAGGAAGGGGCCGGCCGCAGGGGTTTGTCAACGAATCGGACCCGGGCAGCAGGAGCCCAGGAGCTTCTTCGAATCGGGACACGGGGTGCGGTCTGGAGCCCGGGTTCGAGACCTCCTGCCCGCTGGGCGGTGGGCGTTGGCCTCGCAGCGGGAGCCAGGACCGCGGCCCGAAGCCCGGGTTCGAGACTCCCCGCCTGCTGGGCGGCGAGCAACTGTCTCGCAGCAGGGAGGAAGACTACACACGCAAAGGACAGAGGCTCCGGGGCCTGTGCGTCTGAAGCGGGCTCCGCGCTGGCGTCCCCTCCTGGACAACAGCGCCCTGCCTCCCTCCCAGTGGGCCGGGAAGCAGGGCGAGAGGGATCCCCCCCCGACCAGACTGGTGCGCTTCTGGCCTCCAGAGGGAAAGACTCCCAGCTTCCCGACACCCAGCAGGACCGACGCAGAGAGGCCACAGGGGCCGGCGGCGGCGGCTGACCTTGTAGTCGTGCACGATGCGCTCGGAGACGGCCTTGTCCAGCATCTTCTTGTACCACTCCTGCAGCCGCTTGGGCTTGGGGATCTTCTGGTCGGGGGGGTGGCAGTGGAAGATGTAGTCGTCTCCCTCGCTGGGGGGGCAGGCCCAGATGTGACCCGTCGTGAACCTGGGAGGTGGCGGTCGCAAACGAGAAAGAAAAAGGAAACAGAGGAGAGCGAATCGGTCAGCGGCCGTCTCTACCGAGACCTCGGCGTGGCAGGGCCCAGCGCGCGAGGGGCTCGATGGCGGATCCCGGCGGCCACTGAAATGAGGTCGTACCCGAGCTTCTTGACGTACTCCAGGTACCCGATGAGGATCTCGTGGTACACCCCCGTCCGCAGGACCCGCGGCTGGAAGAAGTGGACGCTGTCCAGGTACGATATGTACACCCGCCTGTCAA